CTTCTCCCTGCTGACTGCTTTTTTATCTCTCCATATTGTCGGAAGTTTGACTTCTAAACTTCCTTCGATAAATACAAGCCGGCCACCCGCGAGGGTGAGCGCTATATGTGTACAGTCTCGCCGTAGCCCAGCTTGCTTGAGGGGGGTGTAAAAACTCCTGCAGTAAAACCCTGTGTTCCATACATCATGACTACTCTGCGGTAGCGTTGGCTCAAAAGAGCTAACTGCTGAACTGTTTTAGTGTTTACCTGCCCCCATCTTGTAAATAGTTGGCCGGCCTGGTAAATTACAAAAGCTTTCCAATTTTGGCATCATGACAGTTGAATGTTGGTTAATGCCGGTTGTTGACATGGCCAAGCAGTGGCGACTGACGGCTTTGATGTATGCAATCTCTCCTCGGAACAGCATCCCTATTAAAATGAGTTTATTCCACAACTTGGACATTTGTTTGGCATGACGTGATTCATGATGTTGCTCCTGCATGTGGCAGCCTTGCTTCCATCTCAAGGGAAATGCCTTTAGTTCAAAGCCTCCGGGTTGAAGTGGGGCCATGCTGCCACCTACTGCTCCCTTTCCGGGGCAGATGCTGCCGCCAGCCCCCATGCAATTTCCGAACCAGGTGCCTTTAGGGCAAATGCCCATGGGCCATATGGTTCCAGGTTTGCCTGCTGCTGGTCTTCCAGCTACTGGTCTACCTGGCGCTGGTCTGCCTTGTGGAGCTATGATGCCACCTCCCCCACCAGGGACCTTGCCGAGGACGATGCCTGGGATGTTTGGTGCTCCGCCTATGGCGCAAGCACCGCCCATGGCACCAGCACCCATGACATTACCACCCATGGCTACGCTGGGACAGATGGCTCCGCCAGCACCATTGCAACCAATGCCCCCGCAAGCATTGCAAGGACAAAGTGCGCCCACTGCATTGCCAACTGCGCCAGCGATGCCAGCCTTGCCAGCGCCGTCCTTACCGGCGCCCACAGCTCCGGCTGCAAACATGGCACCAGGGCAGACAGCTCCAGCCACAGCATCGGCACCGGCACTGGCAAACTCACCAGCCACAGATCCTACAGTTGCGGCTGCTGCAGTTGCCTTGGGATTGGATCCTTCCGTGTTAGGCGAAGTTGTTCAAGCCCTGGCTGCTGCAGCTGGCCCTGCCCCACAGGGCCAAGCAGCTGACGCAACGCCGCGGGCACCAGGCCCTGAGGCGCCGGCAGCCCCAGCAGCGACGCCTCCAAGCAGACCGCCTCCTGCAAATGGAAATGTGGAAGGTGAGGGTGCGGCAACTGTGGCAGCTGCTGCACAATCTGCACAGCAAATGCAATATATGCAGCAATATCAATTTTACCAGCAGGCACCCACTGCAGCTCCAGCTGCAAACATCGCACCAGCGCAGACAGCGCCAGCCACAGCATCAGCGCCGGCACCGGCACCAGCACCGGCACCAGCAAACTCACCAGCCACAGATCCTACAGTTGCGGCTGTTGCAGTTGGCCTGGGACTAGACCCTTCCCTGTTAGGTGCAGTTGTGCAAGCCTTGGGTGCTGCAGCTGGTGCTGCCTCGCAGGGCCAAGCAGCTGACGCAGCGCCACGGGCACCACCCCCTGAGGCACCAGCGGCCCCAGTAGCGACGCCTCCAAGCAGACCGGCTCCTGGCGGTGATGGAAATGTTGAAGGTGAGGGTGCGGCAGCTGTGGCAGCTGCTGCGCAATCTGCACAGCAAATGCAGTATATGCAGCAATATCAGTTTTATCAGCAGCTCCAAAAACAAGAGCAGGAAAAAAGAGCAAAGACTCAATCAGCACAGCCTCTGCGTTTCAAAGAAGGCTTTCGTCCCATGAGGCTCTGCAAACCTTTGTTGACAGTCGGATATTGCCGACAAGGACAGGATTGCACATTTGCACACACCTATGAAGAGCTCCACCCAGCCTCACCAGATGTACCAGACAATTTTGCGAGTGAAGAAGGTGCTGCGGCAGAGCAGGGAGATATACCTGAGAGCCAAGTGCCTGACATGAGGCTAAAAAAGAAAAAAGAGATGTGTGGCCGCTTTTCCAGAGGTGAGTGTTCTCTTGGCAAGATTTGCCCATTTGCGCACACTGAAAGTGAGTTGGGCACCATTGGCCTTTCAGTCTGTGGCAAGGTGAAGACCAGGCTATGCGTGTTCTGGGATCCTGCGACCAAGACGGCCAAGGGTTGCATCTATGGCAAAAACTGCAACAACGCCCATGGAGAGCGCGAGATTGGGACAAAGAGGCCGCCTCCAGAGCTCTGTCCACCCATGAAGCGGCGAAGGGATGGCGAATCTGTGATCCGTGGCCGTGACTAGGACACTGGCGGCATGTGGAAAGATCCATGCCTGGGTTGTGCCTCGTAAATGATCTGCTGCGAAAGGCGTTGCTTGAGCGAAAAAAATGGGAAGGGGGGCAGACTTTCAGTCAATAGGCAGAAGTGCCTTGAGGGACTGCACTTTTTGGAAGGTTGCCTCACGGACTTCGTCAGCCTGTGCTTTGAGCCGTGAGCTTGGGCTCTTAATTGAACACTGCATTGATGAAGAATGAGAACCAGAACTATATAGCTTCCAAGTTGCTAAGATGCAATGACACAAGCTCGGGATCAGGGTTCCAACAACTCAAAGTCATGCTTCAGAGATTTTCATAGACCATTTATATAGCCATTTAAAGAATTAATGCAACTATCCAGGCAGCCATCCGCATGCCACATTTGTGTAGCACGGCTGAGCAATGGGCACCCTGAGAGCCATGCGTAGCTCGCCCACTGCGGTTGCCGGGCGACTGGAGGCGGACCTTTAAAACGTCACCATTCATCCATAATGAAGCCGTTGGTGCTGCTGATGTTTCATGATGTTTCATGGTCATATTATTTATATTCATATTCCATCATATATTCCTATTCACACACACATATATATATATAGATATTTTTTTGGGGGGGTAACTGGATAACTGTATGTTCAAACAACACTACAAAATACACATGTAAGTCCATGACAGGCAACCATATGCAACTACACACTGTAGATGTATTTTTTTCTCTTCGTGTTTCTGTAGACAGAAAATGTAGCCATAGCCTGGGGCCAGGAGCTGAGATTTTCGCTGGAGGCTTTTCGGAGGAGGCCGCTGATAGAACAACGGTGAGTTATTTGATATGAATGATGAAAAATAGCTCATTTGCTTGTTCAGCAATGGGGATATATGCAACAGTGGAACATGAAATGGTCTATTGGTTCTTGTTAGTTGGTTGATAGTTGATAGTATATTCAATTTACATGGATCAAATCACCATTTAGCCTGTCACGACAAGCACCAGAGAGCCCATAGCTAGGTCAAACCAGTCGCGCTACGCGAGAAGCGACGCTAAAGAAAGTGCGAAGACGGTGGGGCCGCATGGCTTCCTCATATCACAGCGAGAGTGAAGATCATCAGGAATCACTTGATTTTTCTGGAATTGAGTATCAGGGTATTTGCCCAAATGGAACTTTTTGATGGGTGAAATGGTGATTAAACAGTGCATGGAATGGGATGCCCTATTTTCAGACAAACCCACTGAGCAAACAGCTGTGGGAGCGTTCATTGGTCCCAAGATCGTTTTTGTGAAGTGTATCTGGCCTTCTGTGCCACGCTGGATTTGAAGAGATTAGGCTACTGTTGCTGCGGATGTTTCTTCTTCCGACTCTCTGCGTTCTGTTCTGAGATTGGAAATCAGTTTGTCCAGCATGTTCATTTTCAACGACTCTTCTTTTCACATTGTCTGCTGAAGGTGTCCTTTGCCTCCATGGCTACCTCCAAAATGGTGCTGAACCCGGCGGTCATCAGAGATTGAGAGGTTGGAAAATGCTCCCATGTAGGTGCTGTGTCTCGCCCTTGCCAACAGGTGACGTGTTCAAACAGAAGACCGGTTCACTTCGTCGCGTGCTAAAGGGTTGCGAGTGCGCCGTTCAGGTTTAAATTTGCCCACATTGTGCCTATCAAGTCATTTTGGAACAGCTTTTGCCAATCCTGGTCATAGAATCGGTCGCCAGGTTCACCTTTTTGGATGCCCCCCACATCGCAGAACCTTTTCCGGACAGCTGCTTGGCTTGGCTTAAGTTTCTCCTGATGGTCCAAGTGGTGCAGGATTCTAACCCTGACATGGACGTGGTTGCCTCAGTTGATGGCTGGGTGATCACTTCAACATGTTCATTGGAGAGACGCGTATGTCCAAAAACTATGGAACTTCAAACTTGTGTTCTTTTGAAGTAGAGGGGTTTGAGGGACTTGGCCGCTTGGCCTTTTCTAGACGCAAACTGTAGAGGGAGATTCCTGTGTCTTCACATTCTTCCATCAGGATGCTAGCAGTGCTGGAGGTGCGAGGTTGAAATTAGATGAAATTAGTGCTGTTGAGAGTGGAACTGGTGGATGAGAGACTCCTGACGAGGCGTCGGAGGTCGAGGTTGGTGGACCTCTGGGGAGAATCAACAGCGCAAGGAGGGCGAGGTGGGACCGGTGGTGCCAGTGTCAAAGACCCGACTGATGTTTTTTTTTTGGGTGTCCAAACTACAGTAACTGAGGCAACTAAGGGATCTGAGGGTAACTAAGGGTTGAGAACCACCTACCTGGAGCCTGTGAAGGCATGGGTTCGTCCGGCGCAGTGCTTGCCTGAGAAATCAGCTACTTTGACCGTGGCTGTTGTTTCTATTCTCGTTGAGGTCGTTTGCTTGTGCTGGATTTGATGAAGGTTCGAGGGCAGCCAGACTGAAGCATATTCTTTTTGCACACAGGAACGCAGCTGAGATGAATTGTTCTGTTCATTACAGCTGTAAATAGATATACACATATGTACTGACATTTGTACTGACATTTGAATGAATATAGTGGTCGCTAGTGGCTAGCTCATGTTCACCTTATTACATTCCATTCTTTCCAGCTCTCGAAGTTGCGTTCTGCTTGAGGCGTCGCACATGCCAGAAGCTCCTGTGCAGATATCGCTCAGGCCAGCTGCGGCCAGCTGCGGCCAGCTGCAAGTTGAGTGCGACACGTCCTCCAGTGGCCAGAGCTACACCCCACGAAGCCACTGGAGCATAACGTTGCCACTGGCTCCAAGAGTGTTGCCCAGGATGGACACGGCTTTGATGGAGTTTGGCTCTTTGCGGGGGGATGGGAATTTTGGCAGCAGCATGCAGCAGCCCAATCTTGCCCTGTTTCTGTATGTTGCTGAAATTCATGGAGACTTGATATCACTAAGCCTAGCTGCAGCTTTTGCTGTTTGGATATGCCCAGGTTTTGGCTTTTTCCCAGGGTTGTGCAGTTGGAGGCTTAGGAACTGCATCTGAGGCTCAGTTGTGAGGATCTCAAGGCTGAGGTGTCCCAAAACAGGTAGACAACTTTCCCTACTATAAGAGGACATGTGGGCCTTACATCATGATATGATATGCATAGAGAGAGAGAGAGATATGCACACCCAAATGCATGCAGAGATAAATTCACGTCATGCGTCACGCACGCACACGCACACACACACACATCCACAACACACACACACATCCACAACATACACACACACACATGCATATCTCCTACACATGTACTCACACACACAAATACATGTCGGGTTGGGTATGTGACGTATGATATGTGACTGACATGTGTCTACAAATCAATCAGTAGATATACAGAGGTGTTAGATATTTTACCAATCTACCACCAAGGTGGCCTCGATGCTGCTCCGTGAAGCTCAGCAGGACAAGGGCCATCCGTTGGCCAATGTGAAATTCGCGATTTTGGTGGGGGGCTTCATCCCTCGCGATACCACCATTGTTGCATCCTGAGAGTCAGGGCCTAGGGACTCTTTAGGGATTCTTTCTGATTTGTAGTCTGGTTCACTTTTGAATGACTAATGTTTGAGTGATTTGGTTGATTCATGTTGATTCTGACTGATTTTATTGATTTGGAGGTATGGGGAGATTAGATTGAATTCTCGTAGTTGAGAATTGGAGTTGTTGAGGCGTCGAGATTGCGAGGCGAAAATGGAATAGATTCAGCTCCGCAGCGGGCCCAGTGAAACCGCGATTTATCTTGGTGAGTACGCTACTTGACTAGACCAAGACGCTGGTGGAACATTTTGGCAAACTCCTGCAGACTTGAAGCCCAAACTCTAAGTTGCTCAAGGTTGGAGGTTCATTCTCTGCTTGTGTCAGGTGGGGTCTTAAAGTAGACCAGTGTGCCCAACGGGTATCTCGCTAGCCTTTGCAGGTGAGAATGACCTGCTAGTACCGAGACTGCGGAGTGAAGCGCTTGCGGCCTTGCCAGGGTCTCAGATTATATACGGAAATTGAAGTTTGATATGTGAGCATTTGTTGCAGCACTAGTGCTCTAAAGAACATGTCAACAGAGACATGGCTCAAACTCACACTTGGTGACTTTGACGACTGAACTCGTATACTTTCCGGCGGAAAATGTCGGTCGGGTGTCACAGCCGCTCTGCTGATAGGTACGCCCCATTGAAATTGGGGTGGTTTGATCATCCTGGACGTCATGGCCTTCCCAATGCGACTGGAACCTTCAAGCAGGAGTTGCAGGTGCCGCACCTTTAGAACTGGTAAATGCTTGTGGATGCTTGTAGACTGAAGGACGAGTTGGGAGACATGGTGAGGAATAGACAGCCCCAGCACCACTCTCTGTGACACTTTGCTCAAATCTTCAGACGTGTTTTCTCACATAGGCTTTGTTTGCAGGCTGTTCCTGGCCCTTACCGCTCCATTTCACAGCCCAAAACCTGCACAGCTCGACCAGCGCATCAACTGTTCCCGGAAGCAAACAAAACCCCAAAGTTCCGGTGCTCTGCCGATGAATGGCACAGATTCCACAAAGTGAAGTGACCTATGCTCCAGACCAGGCGCGACGTGCAAGCCGGCACCAGACATAACGACACCTCTTGGCTGACCGAGGCTGAAGCAGAGCAAGGCCAAGTCATCCTGGAAGAAAAGAATAAGAAACGTTGACTGGCTGCAGTTCAAGCCAAAAAGGGATGGTGCTTCTGAGGGAGTTTTTTTTTGGGGGGGTTCATGCCAATGAGCCTATGCAATCTAAATCTGAACCTATCCAATTGGTGGAAGTAACAACCCAGCAGTTTTGCATCATCCAAGGTGTTCGATATTGGTGGGAAGAGGGCTATGTGCCAGGAAACGAAAAGGACCCGCAGACATTGAAGCGGTTTGGTTCTGCTGAAGTTGGTATGACTTTTCCTCGCAACGAGGTGGAGGGCAAGAGGACGTAGACGGAAGAAGACCGAAACGCCCCACCATATCCAAATCATAAATGTGAGTCGTTCACCCTGGCCAATGCTGATACTCTGCAGAAGTTGCCGCGGACCACCGCAAAGCCATATGCACGATGGTTTTGTCAGGACTCAGATGATGAAAAGAGTGAAAGCGGCAGTGAAACGAAGGCGACGGAGTGTGAGAAGCAGCCTGAGCCCCAGCTCGACCCACTTGCCCCAGTTGATTGGGAACCAAAATTGGGAAATGTGTAGTTTTGATTTGAGCCACTGCGAAAGCTCCTGCAACAAGAAACATGTCAGGGAAGAACATCCAATTGTACAACCACGTGGTAAGCGATGGGACCTTCCCAAATAGCGATACTCAGTTCCGATACTACTCCTTTTGAATGCTAGGTCTGCACATACATCATTTTCCTTTATCTAAGCGATACCCACGAGACCAAATTTGCCATACATCATTTTTGTACAAATGTTTGCGGCCAGCCCAAATTTGCCGATGTCCTTTTTGTGAACCGTTAGTTTCCGAGATGTGGAATCCCATTATTTGGGGGTCCCGCAGTTACAAGAACCACCCAGTTGAGCTGCAGAGCATGGGTCCAGGCCGGACATCAATGCTTTGCCCAGTGTTGATGGTGAGGACAGTGACTACGAGGTGTGGCATGAGTGCTTCCCCTTTTCAAGTGTGGAAATTTGGGTGGCCAGGTGAAGATTTCATGATTTTAGTGTCTGGATGATAGGGTGTCACAGTTATATAGATACAACATGATACAACAAATGCCGGTTTAACACCCCAGGAAAAAATGTTGGTTTTCCGGTTGGTTGTCCCCAAAAACATGCACACAGTCTCTGCCTCTTCATGGCAGGTCGTAGTGCCAGGTGATGCCAAGGGTGGCCGCTTGGTTCGCTGGGGTGGGCTTCATGGACGCCTGTGTTTGGCGGATGGTGATTTGGCATTGGAGGAGCATCAGCAGTTCGGGGTATTTTCAAGCACATGTGTGACTGGTACTGCTGCAATTGGATGTTACTTGAGTGTGCATCAAGGGATGTTATTTAATGGATGTTTTTTTTACCCAACCATAGTTGCACATTATGAAATCATTAGTTGCAACTCTGGTGATTGCGATTTGTTTTTTTGACCATCGGCTAGAGGTCCTGGGGTCCTATGACTTCTGAGGGCAGGATGATAGCAGGGAATTGAATTGGAGCCTGTTGGTGGGTTTCAATTGTGGACTCCGTGGACAGGATGGTGAATGCGAAAGCGACAAATCGCAAAAAGCGCTTGCTCCACTTCAAGACTACTTGGATGAACTGTTGATACCAACAGGCGAACCTACGGAGGTTCAGGACACTTGGCATTGTATTTAATTCAAGTCACAGCAGATCAGTGATTGGATATTCAGCTGATATTAGTATATTGGTTTGGTTTAACTTCCTCAGTCTTCAATGTGTGCTAGACTTCCTTGTGTTCTGTGGATTGTTTTGTTTATATACTGGCGTATTTGATTCACAAGTTCCGGCACAGTCTTGCGGTGACTTCAGGCACAAACTGGAGCTGAAAGCTTGCCCGCTCTCGAAAATATGCCTCCTGCTGCAGCCGAAACCATGGCGATAGTTCTGTATCAGAATCTCGGCTTTGATAAATTTTGATATGTCCAAATCTATGGCTGGGCTCTGCACTACCCCCACAACATTTCCGGGAAAATCCAGTTGTTCCTGAACACCAGGACGCCAGCATCGCGGGTGAAGCCGTTGGGGCCTTGATTGAGAATGATTCATGTGCGGCCTCGCATTTCTGCGCAGTGTATGTCAACCAATTCATTCATATTCCGATTCCGAAACATATCGTGTTTATGTCCGAACTGGCGAGCTCTGCGTTCAGCTTTGATGTTTTTGTTTGGTGTCCGGGTGTCGCAACAAATGATTGAGGGTATAACTTCAAATCGCTGGTTGAGCACCTTGGTTTGGGCAGTCCTTGGAATGGTGTTTCAAATTGTTGAGACAACTCAGATGGAGCTTTTGCACCATCACCGATAGCATGTCCTCGAAAGTGGATCAAGCGGAGGCCAGATCAAAGATAGCAACGGGAAATCAAAAAAGGGGCTTTCAACAGGAAAATCAACGATAGCTAGGGCTTTTCCGTTGCAAGGTTAGATTACTAGAGGGTAGCAGGTGGCAGGCAAAGAACAGGAATGGGTTGCCTGGTAGCTCCGCGTACCTCACTTTCCATCCTTGCCAATCTGGAAGGTGCAGCAAGTCTTTGCGATCGAGGATGCCAAGCGCAACAATCGTCTTTATTCTGAAGAGATGCAAGTCCCTTGGCATTGTGCGCAAGACAATGCTTTTGAACCTCCCAGTCAGGTCTACGCATACAGTACTTCGTTTCTGTTGGGTTTATCTTGGTGATGCCGTGCCCTGCACACCACAATGCGTTCCGGAAGCCCGGAGGCATGAGCAAGCTTTGGATTTGCGGTTGCCACATCATATCTGAGGCCCTTTCGCAAGTGGCCATTGGTTCCTTGACTGCACCAAACATTCACCACCATTCTTCCCCCCTCTGTTGCCCCCAACACCGGCAGCTGAGGCAACTACTTCCTTCGCCAACAGCAGGGCTTTGAGGCTACGAGCCCTGCCTTCAGCTGGATGTGACCGCCTGTAGCTGCTGTAGCCGTAGCTGCTCTGGCCAGGTCGTGCAGAAGGCGAAGGAGGACGAAGCCATACGTCGCAGGATCCAACGGGGTTTGGTTTGTGGAGCTCTGGTCGCACAGGTCCCCGGGTAGCACACGTTTTATATACCCATGCATTGAGTTTGGCAGGCTTGGGTGTGCATGTATCATCTTCAAGTGCTTCAATGAATGCTATCATTTTGGCTCAAGTAAACTTGAACCAAAATAGCATTCATTGCTGTTTTCTTTCTTGGTCTTGGTAAGGGGTGACCTTCCCAGACCTTGATTGATTGGTTCAAACTCTACACAAGGGGTGACCTTGTATGCAGCGCAAACTCCCAGGGATCGATATCCCAGCAGCCACCGAGGCGAAGATCCTCCATGCGGCTGCTTTCCTGGAGTTCAAGGGCCACATGGAAAGGCTGGCACGGGAGGGCTCTGACTTGGCAGCTTACACATGCTGGATGCATGGGATTGAAGTGTTGCACTCCCCCTACGTCATTACGACTGGGACGGACTCAGAGCTTCCCCCCCCTGCCAAAGCTACCCTGTTGCCTTGATGACTGCCAGCGTTGCGCAGCTCATGTTGGGGGGTTCAAGTTCCCGTGGCTCGGCCTGTGGAATAGCCGCGGAGTTGTGCTGCCTGACGATGTGGCGCCTGCGGATGCTTGGGCGTACTACTACCAGCACCAGGATCCCATGGACCTCTTGCTGGTCGCTGCCTACACGAAGCTCAAGGTGGCTGCCGACATCGTGCCCCAAGATCTCTACGGGTTGCAGCTCAGGTGCACAGCGGGTGACGCTGGGCAACTGGGCCTGGGAGAGCTTTTTGACCAATGGAGGAGTTGGCTCAGATGCACGGGCCCTCACGAGCTCCTGCCGACCTTTCTCGAGCCGCGCCACTTTCCCAGAGCACCCAGGGGGCGACCCTGGCCTGCATGGGGGAGAGAAGGCGCCAGGGCACATCGAGCACTATGTGGATGGCTGGAATGCCAGGATGCAGGCGTGCTCCAACTGGGCACGGCCTGTACAGAGTGCGGGGACCCTACAAGGCGCGTGTGCTGGGCATGCTGCGTCGGGATGTGTAATGCCTGCTTTACCTGGCGAGAGCCATGCAGCACTTGTGGAGGACGTAAGAAGATGTTTGCTGCAGGTTGAGTTTATGACAGAGGAGGCACCTCTGAAGTCACCGCAGCATCTTTTTGCTTTCCGCACCTTAGCAATTCTGTTAGGGTGCAGTGCCATGGCATCAGGCGGCAAAGGCTACTACGCAGCTCCAGCGGCAGCCTCATCTTCTTCAGGGGGTGACCCTGAACCAGGATGGAGGGCAGCCGACTCGTTGATGATGATAGCTGCACAACGCGCGCGTCAATGGAGGGAGAATGAAGGCCTCCTGGATGACAACGACTTTGCCTATGCCTACACAGACTACGATCAAGTCGTTGGACTGGCCGGCCATCACGTAGCGGATGGCTGGCTGCAGACACGAGCAAGGGTGGAAGAACATCTCCTTGCCGCTGGGGCCAAAGTCGTGGAGGACAACCCCAAGGGTTCTGTCACTCTGCGCCCTGTGCGCAAAACAATCTACAAGAAGAAACCCAAGGCCGTCAACGTCGACAAGAACCTGGATGAAGCCGTCCAGAAGAGAGTGAACGGTTTGGTGTCGATGTTTGTCGGTATGGGAGCATACAAACCAGCTGGCATCTTGACAGACACCCTCAAGGCAGAATGGAAACAAACGTGCAAGAGGATCGCCGAGAAGAAGGTGAAGGACGCAGAGAAGGCGACCATTGACCGAGTGGTCAACACATGGTTGGAGCTGAGGGCCTTCTTGGAGAGTCGGGGGCGACCCGCTCCTCCTGGAATGGTCGACCTGGATCAGTTCCTGAACCATACCTCGGCCCCAGCACGAGCACTCCAAGCCTTGAAGTGGATGAACAAGAATGCCGACCAAGATCTGGAGCTGGGAAACTTGCAAGTGCCCACAACACCCAGGGCGACTGGGCAGCGTGGGCAAGCACCGGTGGTGGAACCGCCGCTAGTGCAAGCCTTGGAGGACCGCATCATGGAGTTGCACGCGGTTGGCGACGAGAGGTGGTCAGTTCTCCTGGCCCCTTGGATCATGTCGTTTGGTTGTTTGAGGTATGCGCATATTGCGCGGTCAGAACCTCGACGTCTCACGGCTGCATTCCTCCATTGCAGGTGCCCCAAAGGAAAACAAAAGCATGCTCGTGAAGGATTCGACTTTGCTGTGCCGGCCACCTTTGCCAACGGCTTCTTTTGGGCCAAGGAAGTGCTGGAGGCATACAGGACGCTGGCACCAGCGAGGCAGAGACTTGCAGGCCTTTGTTTTTCGGACGAAGGGCGCCCTTGGACGATCCTTGAAGTGCAAGAAACAATGCAGCAGGAAATGTCCGTGTTCCTCGATAATCCAGAAGACCTGACCACCTACAGCTGGAGGAGGCTTGCACCAACGGTGGCCCAGTTGTTAGACTGCAGGCCTGAAGAAATGGCAGCCCTGGGCGACTGGCAAGCCAAGAGCGAGCAACCAGAGGTGGGGGCAATGGCATTTCACTATTCGTCGGCCAAATACGCCGCGTCGATTAAGGTGAAATCGCTAATCTGGGGCGCTACAGCTAAGCTCACTAGCAATCTGCTGTGGGAGGCGATCCCGCAGGCAGAGCTAGATGCAGCCCGAGCTCACGGCTTGACTGAGGCCGACAGATTGCTGCGACAAGACCGCCAACCTATGTGGGCCTCCGCACACAGCTTCCAGGACGTGAAGAAAAGGCTCAAGCTGTCACAACAGTTCGTTGAAGCGGCGCAGCAAGCCCGGCAGGAGGCCGAAGCAGCACCGGCACCTCAGATGCCTGATCAACTCAAGGGCAAGGTGCTGACAGCCACATTGAAAAATGGTAAGGCCATTTGCCCGGACTTCCAGACGGATGAGTGCCCGAACCCGGCAGACTCTTGTCCATTCGGAGTGCACTTGTGCGCCATCTTACAGAAGTCAGGACGGGCATGTGGTGGCAAGCACGGTGCGGGCATCTGCAACATCAAGAGAGCGGTGATGGCAGCAACGGCAGTGCCAGCGGCGCCCAAGCCATCGGCCACTCTGGTGCCGGCAGCCGTGGGTGAGAAGGCCACATTCGGCCGGAAGAGGACCGCGGCGAGCGGTGCCACAGACGATGAGATTGCAGATGTGATGCGCACAGCTGTCAAGAAAGCTCGAGGCCAAGCTGCACCCAAGACTCCGCCAAAGGCACCAGCCATTGCAGCCCCCAAGACGCCTCCGAAGGCTAAAGCCACCACACCTAAGCCGCCGGCCACAGCTGCGAAGTCCATGGCTGCAGCCACAACGCCGAAGCGCCTGGCAGCTCCTGGGAAGCCGCAGACCAAGGCCATGCCAAAGAAAGGCCGTGGGAAAGCAGCTGGAGACACCTTGGACCTGCACTTGGAGCGCTTGGGTGTGGGCTCAGGGACCGCCCAGGCCCCTACTTGCATCTGGACGTCCCGAAAGGGTGGTGGCATCTACCTGGCAGGACTTCCGATGCGGCAGACTGTGGACAAGTTCCCCAAGACGGCGTTGCAAATCTGCTGTTTCCCGCATGGTCCTGAGAGCCGGGGGGGGGGTGACCCTCCCGGGGGCTCAGTTGATGACCTTCGCGGCGGCATACAGCCAGGAACGCAACGAGCAGTGGACAGACGTTTGGCCTGCTGTCAAGAATACCGTCTGGCACGGCGACAACGTCGTGGTGCACTGCATCAAGGGGAGACACCGGGGTGCGTTCTTAGGCATCCTCTGCCGTGCACTGCTGGCCGGTGAGTCCATTGAGGATGCCAACCACTACGTGGAGAGCCGCCGGGACACAGAGTTGAACAAGGTGATCCGAGACCAAGGCATGCGGAAGTGGCTGCACAAGACCTTCCAGGACACCGCGGTGGGAACACAGCACCCTGAGCCGCAGGGGTATGCAGCTACTGATCGGTCCAGTACCCATGTCACGGTCGAGGATGGCATCACCTTGTGCCAGCACAAGCAGGCTGACGGGAAGGCGAAACGCCTGGTGAACCCGTACATGTCCACCGACGTCTTTGAAGCCCTGGCATGGGAGCGCCCCTGGTGTGACCAGTGCCTCCGTCGGGCGCCAGCATCATGGTGGCCGCCTGCCTAGGATGCCCAAGCCGAATTTTTGGCCTTTGCGCTGATCAGCAGCACTGGCCCGTTCCGGCCATGGAGAGCCGAATTCATCAGCTCGGGGCTTGGATAAGAGCTTCAATCCAGCCTGCATGACCGCCCCCAGCAGTGACATCGAGTGCGAGAGAAAAACAGAAGGGTAAGAAGAGTCACAGTGGGTGTCCCACTGAGCCGACAACTGTTGCCCTCATGTCGTTTTGCCGTGTTGAATAGGTTTTTCTTTTCACAACATCGCACAAGACTATCTGGGAGGGGGACCCCAGATAGTCAGGTGTACCATAGCTATGTGGCGGCATGAAGGTGATGTCATGTGAGGTCAACACACAGCTGTGAGTTGTACACATGTCCTGATGTAACAGTAGTGAAATTCAGTGTCCATTTCTTTCATGTCATGCCAGGCTGTTCCAGCGCATCGCACGGGGGAGACCCGAGGCGCAGTTTTCAGTCAAAGGGAGGGGATCCCTGGGCCTTAGTTAGAGGGGTGTCCTCGAGAACAGGCCATGGAGACTGATAAAGTCCCACTGGAAAAGGGTTCCCCGGAAGAAATCCTAAGGAAGTTGGGTGACAACTTCTCGTTGGATGATGGGGTAGTTGAAGCCCTGCTCCGGTTGGGCGTCGAGAGTTTGCAAGAGTTTCGTTTTCTATGGGCATCTGAGCAAGCCATTGAGCCCTGGGTAGCTAAGCTGGGCCTGGGGGACAAGGCACTGCTGATGACAGCTCGAGTCCGCAGAGCGTGGGCCGCAGTGGGACTCTACTATCGTCAGGTGGAACAGGATCGATCCAAGATCGCGCTGTCGGACTTGGATACTATGCTTGGGGAGACCGAGCTGCGCGACACCAAGCAGCAGTTTTGGAGGCGCTACA